GTTTCGGATATCCCCAGAAACCACTCCGGATATTCCCGATTTCCCCCCCCAAACCTCCCCTATAGATCCCCTATAGGTCCCCTAGACCCCGCCCAACCGCCCTTTAACCCGCCCCTACACCATCCATACGTCCCAAAAACCCCCTTAAACCCCCCCTCAAATATTCCCTATATCCCCCCCCCACCACACCCCGCCCTTCTTTACCCGCCTCAAACCCCTTTAAATCCCCTCCGGACCCTTTTTAGAAGCCCCCAGACCCATTTTGAGCCCTCCAGACCCCCCAAATCGCCCCTATAGAGCCCCTATAGCCTCCATACGTCCCCCGCCCGCTCGCCCTCAGCCGCCTCTGTCATGGCGGCCGCCACCTCCCCCTCACGACAGCGAGGCCACGCCCCCCGAGAGACGGGGCCGCCGATTGGCTGCTTCTGCCCCAGCGACAGCGCTGATTGGTTGTCTCTCTTTCACCGCCAGCACTGATTGGTTGAGAGGGGCGGAAGGCGGGGTTTAGTCCTGAGGGAGAGTGGGCTCGGTTTTGGCGGGAAGGCGGGGTTATGGCGGATGATTGACGTGCGTATTATAATTAGGGTGTGTGGTTATGCAAATAAGGGGGCGGGGTTTGATAGTAGGGATGAAGGCGGGAATTGTCCCAAAAATTTGGGAATTTTCCCTAAAAATTCCCTAAAAATGGGGGAAAAATGGGAGGTAATCCCAAATAAAGGGGAAATAGGGGAGAAACCGCTAATAATTAATAATTTAGGAGGGAATAATCGCTAATAATCGCAAATTATTTGGGGTAATAATCGTTAATAACAGCTAATAATGGGGTAATAACCGCTAATAATGCGGGGAAATGAGGGAAAAATTGGAATAATCCCAAATAAAGGGTGAGCAAGGGAGAAACCGCCAATAATGGCCAATTGGGTAATCATAAGAGTTAATAATGGCTAATAATTGGGGTAATAATGACTAATAATGGGGTAAAACGGCCTAATAATGGAGAAATAATCACTAATAATTGGGAAATAACGGCTATGAATAGGTAAAATAATTAATAATGGGGAAATAACCGCTAATACTGGGAAATAATGAGTAATAATTGGGGAGTAGTGATTAATAACGGGAAAGAATTACTAGTAATTGGAAAATAATTAGTAATAATGGGAAATAATTGCTAATAATGGAAAATAATGACGAATAATCGGGAAATAACCGCTAATAATGGGAAATAATGATGAATAATGGGGAAATAATAGGTAATAATAGGAAATAATAACTAATAATCGGGAAATAATGACAAATAATCGGGAAATAACCGCTAATAATGGGAAATAATGACTAATAATCAGGAAATAACGGCTACTACTGGGAAATAATTACTAATAATCGGGAAATAATGATGAATAATGGGGAAATAACCGCTAATAATGGGAAATAACGACCGATAACGGGGAAATGATGACGAAATCGGCCAAAAAACGGGAATTTCTCCCCAGAAAACTTCGGGAATTCGACCCCTCCCCCCCCTTTTTTTTCCAGCTGTTCACCCAAAAAACAGCTGGGGAGGGGGGGAGGGGCGGGGGCGGCAGCTGCGGGGTCACGTGACTTTATCCAAGGATTCCCAACCCCCTTTTCCCAAATATTTTTAGGATCCGGCTGGGCCGGGGGAGGGGCGGGAGCCCCAGAGAGGGGGGAACCCAAAAATCGGGAATTTTGGGAATGAGAGGGTTAAAAAAAAATGGGAATTTTTGGGTGGAAAAAAGGGGGGGGGGAAAGGCTGAAAAATGGGAATTTTTGGGGATAAAATGGTCCCGAAATGGGAATTTTTGGGGATAAAAAAATCCCGAAATGTGAATTTTTTGGGATAAAAAATCCCGAAATGGGAATTTTTGGGATAAAAAAAATCCCGAAATGGGAATTTTGGGAATGAAAAAAAGTCTTAAAAATGGGAATTTTGGGGTTAAAAGGGTACTAAAAAATGGGAATTTTGGGGCTAAAATGGTCCTAAAAAGGGGAATTTTTGGGATAAAAAGTCCCGAAATGGGAATTTTGAGGGGGTTGGGAATGAAATGATCTCAAAATGGGAATTTTGGGAGTGAAAGAAGTCTTAAAAATGGGAATTTTTGGGTTAAAAGGGTCCTAAAAAATGGGAATTTTGGGGGTTTTTAGGGGTGAAAGGGCTGAAAATTGGGATTTTTTTGGGGGGGAAAAAGGGAGTTAAGAACCAGAAAAATGGAATTTCAGAGGTTTTTGGGAATAAAAGGTCCCTAAAAACGGGAATTTTGAGGGAATTTGGGAATTAAAATGGGAATTTTGGGAGGATTCCGCCTCAAAAAAAGGGCGGGAAAACTCAAAAAAAAAAAAAAAAAGCGGAATTTTGGGGATTTTTTTTTTCCCCCCCTTTGCCTTTGGGGTTTTTTTTTTTTTAATGGAAATCTTGGGAATTTTGGGAATTTCTCGCGAGAATTCCCGCGGGAATTCGGAGTCCGGGAGCCCCCCTGGAGCCCCCCTGGGGGGGAGTTTGGGGGGGAGGTCCCGGGAATTTTGGGATTTTGGGAGGATCCCGGGGGGGGAATTTTGGGAGCCGAGGAGAAGGAACCGAGGAGCCCGGTGGGGAATTTTGGGGAGAAAATTGGGAATTTTGGGGGGGGGATTTGGGAATTTTGGGGGGGGATTTGGGAATTTTGGGGGGGGATTTGGGAGGAACTGAGGGGATTTTGGGGGGAATTTTGAGGAATTTGGGGAGGTTTGGGAGGTTTTTTGGGGAATTTTGGGAATTCGAGGGGGGAGTTTGGGGGGATTTTTGGGAATTTTGGGGGGGGCTTGGGGCGGTTTTTTGGGAATTGGCGGCGTTTGGAGGGAATTTTGGGGGGAATTTCGGGAAATTTGGGCAAATTCCCCCCCCCCGTGGTTTTTTAGGGGTACTGATGAATATTCATGTTTATGCAAATGAGGGGGTGGGACTGTTGTTGGCCACGCCCCCCTGGCAGCTGCTGTGGGGGGAGGGGGAGGGAAATTCCAGCAAAGGATTCTGGGAGCAGCTGCTGGGGGGGGCTCCCAGTGCTCCCAGTTCCCTCCCAGTTCATTCCCAGTTCACTCCCAGTCCCTCCCAGTGCTCCCAGTGCTCCCAGTTCATTCCCAGTTCATTCCCAGGGCTCCCAGTTCACTCCCAGTTCATTCCCAGTCCCTCCCAGTGCTCCCAGTTCATTCCCAGTTCATTCCCAGTTCATTCCCAGTCCCTCCCAGTGCTCCCAGTTCACTCCCAGTTCACTCCCAGTTCCCTCCCAGTTCATTCCCAGTTCATTCCCAGTCCCTCCCAGTGCTCCCAGTTCACTCCCAGTTCACTCCCAGTTCACTCCGAGTTCATTCCCAGTTCATTCCCAGTCCCTCCCAGTGCTCCCAGTTCACTCCCAGTTCACTCCCAGTTCCCTCCCAGTTCATTCCCAGTTCATTCCCAGTCCCTCCCAGTGCTCCCAGTTCCCTCCCAGTTCATTCCCAGTTCATTCCCAGGGCTCCCAGTGCTCCCAGTTCACTCCCAGTTCATTCCCAGTTCACTCCCAGTCCCTCCCAGTGCTCCCAGTGTCCCCAGACTGGGGGGCGTGGCCATGGCAGCGCTGCCGCTGCCCCTCCCCCTCCTGCTGCTGGCCGGGGTGGCCGAGGGGACCCCGCGGGGGACCGAGGGGACAGCGGGGACCCTGCTGGACCTGGGTGAGAGAACCCCCCAAAACGGCCCAAAATGCCCCAAAATGCCCCAAAACGACCCCAAAATGGCCCAAAACGACCCCAAAATGGCCCAAAATTGTCACAAAATGGCCCAAAAATGGCCCAAAATGGCCCAAAATTGCCTCAAATGCCCCCAAAAATGTCCCTAAATGGCCCAAAAATGTCCCCAAATGCCCCCCAAATGCCCCAAAATGGCACAAAAATGTCCCCAGATGTCCCCAAAATGTCCCAAAATTCCCGAAAACAGCCCCAAAATGTCCCCAAATGTCCCCAAATGTCCCCAGAATGTCCCCAAATGTCCCCAACTGTCCCCAAAATGGCCCCAAAATGGCCCCAAAATATCTCAAAATCGTCCAAAAAAAGACCCAAAAAAGACCCAAAAATGTCCCCAAATGTCCCCAAAACTGCCTCAAATGGCTCCAAAATGTCCCAAAATGGCCCCAAAATGTCTCAAAATCGTCAAAAAAAAGACCCAAAAAAGACCCAAAAATGTCCCCAAATGTCCCCAAATGTCCCCAGAATGTCCCCAAATGTCCCCAAATGTCCCCAAAATGGCCCCAAAATGGCCCCAAAATGGCCCCAAAATATCTCAAAATCGTCCAAAAAAAGACCCAAAAAAGACCCAAAAAAGACCCAAAAATGTCCCCAAATGTCCCCAGAATGTCCCCAAATGTCCCCAGAATGTCCCCAAATGTCCCCAGAATGTCCCCAAATGTCCCCAGAATGTCCCCAAATGTCCCCAAAATGGCCCCAAAATATCTCAAAATCGTCCCAAAAAAGACCCAAAAAAGACCCAAAAATTTCCCAAAATGTCCCCAAATGTCCCCAAATGTCCCCAAATGTCCCCCGCTGTCCCCAGGCCGCTGTCGCTTCGCGCTGGGAATGGAGGACGGGACCATCCCCGACTTTCGCCTCTCGGCCTCCAGCGCTTGGTCCGACTCCACCGCCGCCCGCCACGGCCGGTACGGACCAGTATCCACCAGTAAAAACCAGTTCGGACCAGTATGAACTGGTTTGGACCAGTATGAACCAGTATGAACCGGTTTGGACCAGTATGAACCGGTTTGGACCAGTATAGAACAGTATAGACTGGTATAAGCCAGTATGAACCAGTTTGGACCAGTATGAACCTGTTTGGACCAGTATGAACCGGTTTGGACTGGTATGAACTGGTTTGGACCAGTATGAACCGGTTCGGACCACTATCAACCAGTATGAACCAGTATGAACCGGCTTGGACCAGTATGAACTGGTTTGGACCAGTATCGACCAGTATGAACCAGTATGAATCAGTTCAGACCAGTATCAACCAGTAAAAACCAGTATGAACTGGTTTGGACCGGTAAGAACTGGTTTGGACCGGTATCAATCAGTATGAACCACTATGAACCAGTTTGGACCAGTATCAACCAGTATGAACCGGTTTGGACCAGTATAGAACAGTATAGACTGGTATAAACCAGTATCAACCAGTATGAACTGGTTTGGACCAGTATAAGTGCCTGGTGTCCCCAAACGTCCCCAAATGTCCCCAAGTGTCCCCTGGCTGTCCCCAAAGGTCCCCAAATGTCCCCAAGTGTCCCCTGGGTGTCCCCAAATGTCCCCAAACGTCCCCTGGGTGTCCCCAGATGTCCTCTGGATGTCCCCAAATGTCCCTAAATGTCCCCAGACATCCCTAAATGTCCCCAAAACGTCCCCTGGCTGTCCCCAAAGGTCCCCAAGCATCCCCAGGGTGTCCCCAAGCGTCCCCAAGCATCCCCAAACGTCTCCTGGGTGTTCCCAAATGTCCCCAGGGTACGCCCAAACATCCCCTGGCTGTCCCCAGGTGTCCCCAGGGTGTCCCCAAATGTCCCCTGGCTGTCCCCAAACGTCCCCCGTCCGTCCCCAGGCTGGGCCGCAGCGACGGCGACGGCGCCTGGTGTCCGGCGGGGCCGGTGTTCCCGGCCGAGCAGGAATTCCTGGAGGTGGACCTGGGCCACCTGCACCTGGTGACACTGGTGGGGACACAGGGACGCCACGCGGGGGGACACGGCCGGGAGTTCGCCCACCAGTACCGGCTGCGCTACAGCCGCGACCGGCGCCGCTGGCTGCGCTGGAGGGACCGCTGGGGCGCCGAGGTGGCCTCGGGGACATCGGGGACGTCGGGGGGGTTGGGGGGGGTTGGGGACATCAGGGGGATTTGGGGACATTGGGGAAATTTGGGGACACTGGGGACATCGGGGGAATTTGGGAACATTGAGGGGATTTGGGGACATTGGGGGTGTTGGGGACATTTGGGGGGATTTGGGGATGTTGGGGACATTTGGGGATGTTGGGGGTGTTGGGGACATCGGGGTCATCAGGGGGATTTGGGGACATCGGGGGGATTTGGGGACATCGGGGGGATTTGGGGACATTGAGGTGATTGGGGACCTTGGGGACCTCCTGAGGACCTTGGGGACATCCTGAGGACCTTGAGGACCTCCTGAGGACCTTGGGGACCTCCTGAGGACCTTGGGGACCTCCTGAGGACCTTGGGGACATCCCGGAGACCTGGAGCTCCTGAGAAATCCCCATGATCTCCTGAGCTGACACCAACCATGCCACCGCAGGTGATCGGTGGCAACGAGGACCCCGAAGGGGTGGTGCTGAAGGACCTGTCCCCACCGCCGGTGGCCCGGGCGCTCCGGGTGTACCCGAGGGCGCCGCGCGCCATGAGCGTCTGCCTGCGCCTCGAGCTCTACGGCTGCCCCTGGGAGTGTGAGTGTCACCTCCCTGTCACCTCTGAGTCACCTCGGACCCGCTGGTGGCCCCAAAGGAGTGGTGGTCGCCCATGGCCACGTCTTTCACCCAGCTGTCCTTGGTGGTGGCCCTGAGTTGGGGTCTTGTCACTGTGGGGCCAATGGTTGGGTGTTGGGGTCATTGATTGAGTGTTGGGGTTATTGGTTGGGTGTTGGGGTCAATGGTTGGGTGTTGGGGTCAACGGTTGGGTGTTGGGGTC